TAAATGTGTACGAGTATCGGAGTAACTTTGGTTTTTTCCAAACTTTTTACAGGTGGCTTGGCTGTGGAGGGTGGTTCACAAGCCTGGATCAGTTGGGCGCTCACGTGACCAGAGTTCATGCGGGTGCCGGTGAAGGCGGACTCTTCTACTGCGGCTGGGAGGGATGCTCCAGGGCTGAGAGAGGCTTTAACGCCAGGTAATAACGCCAAGTCATTCAAAACACCTATATACTGTCGTGCTAAGGAAAAACGCCGTATGAATATTCAAGAGTTGCCAAATTTCCTTCGATAAAATGTTTATTTTCGAGGAACGCCATGGAATATTTTCCCTTGAAATTTTCAGGAATCTTATGTGATATTGCGAACAAAATTATCTGAAAAATTGGAAGAAAATTATTAACACGTTTCACCAAAAATTCGTAATTTACTGAAGGAAATTTGGCAACGCCTGAAGGTTCATACGGCATTTTTCCTTTCAAGGGCAGTGTATATCCGTCGCAGACCAGTACTAAAATCAGGCTTTTTGTCTAATGCCTGAAGGTAAGTAGCCAAATAGTTTTACTTCGATTGAAATTCTGATTGTTTTCCTAGTATTGGTCAAAATCATTTATTGTTGGCATTACATCGTCCGTTTCGTTCAAAAACATGTTTTTCTCGAAAGTATTGTTTTAATAGAAAATCATAATCTCCACTTGTCTTTCTTGGTTTTTGGTCTCATTTCCGATACATACTAAAAAAGAAAAATTTATTTTACCATAAACATAGGTTTTCGACGAAACAAAGAAAAGTCTATTTCATCCTGAATTCCCTAGTAAGGAAACATGCCCATCAGCTTTGCTTGGTCGGGGGTTTAACTGGTGGCCATTGCTCTAAACACCGGGAAAAAAGGAGCTCTTGCGATAGGGCGTATTTCTGCCAAACGGAACTATATGTATTATAACGTGAGCCCTGTTATGCACATATTCTTATGGGTCTCAGAGCTCATGTCTGAATGCACATAGTTCCGTTTAGCAGAAATACGTCCATAAAGAGGGCAGGGAAGGAATCGTGCGTGCGGCGATGGCCGAGGCCAACGCGACAATAGCTATGACATCTATGACACAGAACATAATAAGAAAGTGACAAAAATGATGCTGGTTTGAGGAAAGGAGAATTTCTCGACTTCCAGGCTTGTAACTTACAATAAGTTTAGCCTCCCTCATTATCGAGATTTTTTGCCGGGAAAATCGACAGAAGCATCGACAGAATCGAAAAACCATACATGACTATTAACGTTTTAAGGATCGTATCTTCACCAAGGCCCCAAAGTCTTCCTGGTTGGCCTTTTATCTTCAAGAACCTCTGCGACGCGACATGTTTCCAGCAACATTTCATGTATTATCTGCAGCTGAAATCTGATATGCCGATCACACGTTAAAATTGAATTCATTTACGCTACAGAATATCTAATTTCATGCGCATATTGTCGTAAAAAGTTAATGCGAAGTATGACATTGTTTCAGGTACAAAATGCTAGTCCACGTGCGAACTCATACCAACGAAAAACCTCATCAGTGTTATCAATGTGATAAAAGTTTCAGTAGAGCAGAAAATCTCAAGATCCACGCGAGATCTCACACAGGTATGTAATTATTAATTGTCAAAAAAAAAGGAAAAAACGAGATATCGACGATGTAAGTCGGCAATCACAAAACTCGGTTTGCGACGTCGCAGACTTCTTGTCATACTTTATTTTTTAAACGGAAAACTACTCAATGGCGATTCTTTAAAACTGCCGGATTTTTCTTCTCTGTGCGAAGAAAATTCTGCAAAAACTTCAAGGAATGATGTCAATTTGTTGTCCTTAAAAAAAAATAACGTTAAGGCGGAGATTCTCAGACACCGCAAACGAGTTATGCGTTTACCGACTTACACCGTCGATATGCGTTTTTGTCACTATTGCGACGGTAAGAGAGCCCGGTCAGTAATTCTGTAGCAAAATTAGAGGCCAAGTACCATAAAACTTCACAACGGACAGCAGAACATTCCGTATTGATATTTATTTTAGGCCGTAAAATTGGGTTGTTTCTCTTTGAAAAAATAAAGTAGGGGCGGAAATTTGGAAACACCGCGGTGAAACTCACAATTTTTCAAATTCAATCATCCTTTCGGAAAGGTGAATTATATCCTGTTAAGCGTTTACTCGTTGTTTCTCGAACAAAAGAGCGTAACTTCTTTCCATGGCTGCAATATTGACTCAAAAAATTCGATTGTTCGTAATAATATGACAGCGCAATTTTCCTGATTTTTGCGTGTAATCAGGAGTTACAAGTAAAATTTCAGTTAGAAATACCCACTAGTTTTTTTTAATAAAAAAATACAATTTTCGAAGGAAATTTCGCAATACTGAAATGTAGTTACGTTTTTTCGTCTGAAAAATGGACTGGATTTTGCAATTTGGAACTATAAATTCTGGCTCTCCTGGAAAAACACGTGTGTGCACAGGGAAACTAGTGGCACATACGTTGTTTTTAAGCCGGGCTAGAATTTATAGTTCCAAATGCAAAATGCAGTCCAAATAGTGTGTTGAGGCATGAAATTGAAGGTTCCAATTACAGTTCTGCCTTCTGCGTGTATGTTGTCGTTATTCTATCAACACACTCTAACAATGGCGATCCTCTGGAATTCGCAACTTTTTTTGACCGAATACTTAAATTTACAGGTGAAAGACCGTACATTTGTCCGGTGCCGGGCTGCGGCAAGGCTTACTCCAATTCAAGCGATCGTTTCAAGCACACACGCACACATTCGGTGGATAAACCGTACATGTGCAAGGTGGCCGGCTGTCCAAAACGCTACACGGATCCAAGCTCGCTCCGAAAACATGTCAAAACTTACAGGCATTTCCCCAACCAACAGGCTAACCAAACCGGTAAGCAACTTGATTTTTGCGTAGTTGATAATCTGCAGAAGAATTGCCATGCAATGTCTCTAAAAATTGTGTTGGGCTCCCGAATTTTTTTAGGATCAGGAAAGCTCCTTTTAAACCCACCTTTTTACCTCATCGAGAGACACAAAAACAGGTCCGAGGTCCTGCAACATTAGAAGCAATAAATTATCCTGTCAACAGGTCAATATCAAGTTTTATGAAAGAAGATTTTCAATCGGTAAAATCAAAAGGAAATACTCATTTTAATTTTTTTCTTGTATACATTTTCATTTTTTTGAGGGAAATTTGCTATATCCCTTGATATTAACTGGACCACCGGTGAACTTCACTTTCAAACATATAAATGTTAATATAAAAAACATTATACATAAAGATCCCAGCATTTTTCAAACCAATAACGTTATCATTCGGAGTTTTTTTTATCATATATCAAGTTCGTGCGTTCATTTTTACAATATATAGGTATTACAAATGATCCACCTGCAACTCATCGGTAATATGCATTGACTGAAAAGAATAACTCATTAGGTTGTATTGATCCGAATGATCATTTCCCTCAGAATCCTATGCATCTGTTAGAAGAAAAAGCACGTGATTGAAAATGAATATCTAAGGAAAATAGAATTTGTTAGCCGCAATGGTTTATCCTCGATTCCAACCTCCTTAGTTCTCACACGCCACTAACCTAAACGCGCATGAAACGCCTTCAAAATTGGGGATACTTCCCAACACCACAAGCAAGTTCGAATAGTTGTATCACAGCATAACCCAAGTGTGAGTAACTGCGGGATCGTGGTATTCGCTTTATTCCTGAGGTGTTAATTGTCCTTCCTCTCCCCCCTC